GGAGGGGAGAGGAAAAGGGGAGAGAGAAAAGGAAAGAGAAAAGCAGGGAAGAGCGTGAACACACGTCTATCCTTAGAGAAGGCTCTGAAGGAAGCAGGCACTCACTGCTGGGTGGCGGGGCAAGGACTTTCGTGAAGGAAGGGAAAGTCCTCGACAGGAACGCTGGCAGGCACCAAAAACACACCTAGCTAGTTCCTAATTTCGCTAGAGTATGTTTCTTTTGGAAGGGAAATAGAGGTATGATTGATTTTTAAATGAAGGTAATTATGCTATGGTTTAAATTACTCAAATATTAGCAGACCTCTGATTAGAACTCATGCTCAGAAACAAAACATTTCTTCCATTAAAGAATGAATGAAAGTGTTACTTTTAAACAGCTATCAACAATTTTTAAATTCTTTTACTTTGCCAACAAGCGAAATTTTTAAAAAGAAAAATTAAAACACTGTGTGATATGGCTTTCTCAAAGTTTTATAACAGAATTTGAAGGGAATGCATTTCAAGTTGTAATATTGCTATAACTTAGACTTTGATTGTTTTAGAAGTTTCTCTCTCCCTCATGCTTCTCCCTATACCGCCCGATTCCCTCCACAGCCATAGTTATCATTAGAAATATTACAAATTAAATGGTAATAACTACCATTACCTTTCATTTAAAGAGTACATTCTTTTTAACTTCTAGAATTTTCAACTAAAGTCTACCTTTAAATAGTTTCCCATCAATCTTTGTAAAATATTATTTTAGTTCATTGTTAAAAAAAATTGTACCAATTTTTGTCTGTCTTTTCAAGCTTCACATGTCTAATATTTCATTTAAGTTGTAATTCTACCAACAGTTACTTTTATCCTGGACACAATTTGTCATAAACGCTAAATTGTGATTTCACTTATAAGAAGGATCCAAATAAAAAGTAAAAATTTCTTTTTCAAACCCAAATCACTTCATCTAAAGAAAAGTGATTTCCATTCAATCTTATCGTCTAAAGACAATAGTCATGATAGTTTTCCCCACAACGCAAATCTACAAGCTCACCTTTTAATAACTCGAATATCAGAATAGATATTCTAAAATATCATGTTTTAGGTGCTCTAAGTAATCAATGTAATAAAAACCTTGTATAATGCTTATCTTTCTTCTCACTAAATCATAGACTGATCTGAATAATGCCCATGAACTACAATAAAGACTAGATTTACCTGTTTACAGGTAAGGTGTGTTCTAGTGATCTTGCTTCACACCAAGGACTCTTTTGAGGTTCTGCATATAGAACTGAAGACTGGCAATGGATGGCTAAAGGAGAGAGGTGTCCAGGAGTTGGCCATAACACGTTTGGGCTTGTGGTCTGTCGACCAGGTCCACCTTCCGAGTTATTGACACTGCTAGGAATACTGTAATTCATCACAGCAGGGCTATAGAATGTCATGGCTGAGTATTCATGGCGGTTCTCCACATAGGAGGAAGGTATATATATGGTGCCGTGCTCCAGCGGAAGGATGGACTGACTGCAGTTGTAGGAGGCAGGAGAGTTAAGGCTAGATGGTGAGTTTTTGATATCCATATCTTGAATAGGTAACANTTTTTAAAAAGAAAAATTAAAACACTGTGTGATATGGCTTTCTCAAAGTTTTATAACAGAATTTGAAGGGAATGCATTTCAAGTTTCAATATTGCTATAACTTAGACTTTGATTGTTTTAGAAGTTTCTCTCTCCCTCATGCTTCTCCCTATACCGCCCGATTCCCTCCACAGCCATAGTTATCATTAGAAATATTACAAATTAAATGGTAATAACTACCATTACCTTTCATTTAAAGAGTACATTCTTTTTAACTTCTAGAATTTTCAACTAAAGTCTACCTTTAAATAGTTTCCCATCAATCTTTGTAAAATATTATTTTAGTTCATTGTTAAAAAAAATTGTACCAATTTTTGTCTGTCTTTTCAAGCTTCACATGTCTAATATTTCATTTAAGTTGTAATTCTACCAACAGTTACTTTTATCCTGGACACAATTTGTCATAAACGCTAAATTGTGATTTCACTTATAAGAAGGATCCAAATAAAAAGTAAAAATTTCTTTTTCAAACCCAAATCACTTCATCTAAAGAAAAGTGATTTCCATTCAATCTTATCGTCTAAAGACAATAGTCATGATAGTTTTCCCCACAACGCAAATCTACAAGCTCACCTTTTAATAACTCGAATATCAGAATAGATATTCTAAAATATCATGTTTTAGGTGCTCTAAGTAATCAATGTAATAAAAACCTTGTATAATGCTTATCTTTCTTCTCACTAAATCATAGACTGATCTGAATAATGCCCATGAACTACAATAAAGACTAGATTTACCTGTTTACAGGTAAGGTGTGTTCTAGTGATCTTGCTTCACACCAAGGACTCTTTTGAGGTTCTGCATATAGAACTGAAGACTGGCAATGGATGGCTAAAGGAGAGAGGTGTCCAGGAGTTGGCCATAACACGTTTGGGCTTGTGGTCTGTCGACCAGGTCCACCTTCCGAGTTATTGACACTGCTAGGAATACTGTAATTCATCACAGCAGGGCTATAGAATGTCATGGCTGAGTATTCATGGCGGTTCTCCACATAGGAGGAAGGTATATATATGGTGCCGTGCTCCAGCGGAAGGATGGACTGACTGCAGTTGTAGGAGGCAGGAGAGTTAAGGCTAGATGGTGAGTTTTTGATATCCATATCTTGAATAGGTAACATCTGAGAAAACTCCTTTTGAGAAGAGCCACAAAGGGAAATTATAATGGTCTCAGTCTCATGGGCAAGTAGAATGGCTGTAAAGAGTAACAAAAGGCATTTCTAAGTTAGTTAGAGATACAGGCATAACTATTAAAAATGTTTAAGCATTTTTATTAAACACACATCCATTGGTATGAGCTTAGAAATACATACATGAAAATATTAACCTCAGAGGGATGGGAATGTGAGGCATGAAACTCTTATTTTCTACTTCACTCACTTCTTTATTGCCTTTGTCGTTGTTGTTAACCACAAGAGTATTTTTACCATGAGATTTGTTATAAAATGCTTTTTAAAATTAAAATATATAAGCTTATATTAAAAATGACTGTTTTCTTTTTAACCTGAAACTAGAGAAAGTTGTTATGGAAAAATAATTGAGAGTAACCAGGAAAACCCTGAAAGAGCAGATCAATGAGCAGGGCCAGCGTTAACAGATATTCAAATACATTGTGAGTAGCCAATATTAAAGAACAAGGAATCTACAGATCAATGTAACTGTGTCAGTTATTAATTTACTGAGCCTCTAAGGCACCCTTCAATGTATGCTCTATAATAAACAATCAGGTTCCCGTAGTATTTAAAATGACCTGATGCTAAACTTTCTCAGTGGGGCGCGCCACAGGGACGCTGCAGGGGGAAGGGGATGCTGTGATTTCTGGCCCACTCCTTATTTCTTATTTGTGTTAATGACAAAGCCTATTACAATTACTTTTAACCACCAAGGCACATTGGTATTTTTCCCCACAGTGCCTCTTCCCATGCTGCCCTTTGCCACCATCTGAGCAAGCTCCCATTTCTTATCCCTGCATCTGCAATAGGCTCCTTACTACTTGTCCTCAGCTAGCTCCTTCTCCAGTTCCACAGAGAAACCAGATTAACATTCTCCAAATCCAGCTCTGATCAGCCCCCTGCTTCCCACCAGCCTCTGCAGTAAATCACGACCTTCTAACATTCAAAGCCTTTCCCTGTGTTGTCTCATCCCATCTTTCCACCCTAATCTGCTGCTTTCCTACAGGAAAACTGCTATGTCTATAAGGAACATGCGAGTCCCTCGTGAAGTGGCGAGCGCTGCATATGCCTTAGCAGCTTTTTCACCCTTAACACCTCTGTAGTTACTAACATACAAATTTAACCCTTTTATCAGATTACAACTCTATCCAATCCTTCTTGGAAACTGGCAGAGGTGGGGTGGGGTTACAATTAGATTTTAAACTCCTTGAAGGCATCCACTGTATTTTATTCACCTTCCACAACTCAATAATTATTTGTTATAAGGAAAAAATGAAGAAGTGTTTAAAATATAAGATTTCACCAAGTCAAGGGTATTAATCAAAGATAGGAGCATTTTTCAGCAGACTTGGTACTGTGCTGACACGGGATTTAAAGGAGTCCCAAGACATGCACCCTGCCTTCAGGGAGCCACTCTGCCAGGTATAGGAGGCAGGATGGGCCAGGTAAAATGACAATGAACTAATACAAAAGGCACTGCCACTTCTAATCAACATTAATTGACTACAAGGGACAGGAAAGAGAATGGTAGCTGGAGAATATAGGATGGAGGATGTTTTTTGTTTTTTTTTTAAATCTAGGTGCACTGTTAATTATGAGTACATAATTTCATGTTTCAATTACTTAGATTCCCAATCCCTGATTCCTAATAGAAAATATGCAGAATAAATCTAACTACTGTCAAAACTAGCCATTTCCATTTTTTTTTTTAAATTGTGGTAAAAAAAAAACAACACATAACATAAAATTTACCATCTTAACCATTTCTAAATGTACAATTCAGTAGTGTTAAGTACATTCATACTGTTATGAAACCAATCTCTAGAACTCTTTTCATCTTGTAAAATTAAAATTCTACACCTTTTAAACAACAGCTCCCCTGTTCCTCCCTCCCCCGGCCCCTGGCAACCACCATTTTACTTTCTGTCTCTCTGGATTTGACTACTCGGCTCCTTATATAAACAGAATAATACNCTGGCAACCACCATTTTACTTTCTGTCTCTCTGGATTTGACTACTCGGTTCCTTATATAAACAGAATAATACAGTATTTGTCTTTTTGTGACTGGCTTATTTCATTTAACATAATGTCCTCAAAGTTCATCCATGTTGTTGCATGTGTCAGAGTTTCCTTCCTTTTTAAGGCCGAATTCCACTGTATTTATGCACTACATTTTGTTTATCAATGAAGGGTTTTAAACTGAGATGCTTGAAATCATTTACAGATCCATGGAAATGACCTAGGTTAGAATAAATGGTTGACATAGGAGAGACCACAGGAGTTGGTAATTAGGCCAGTGGTAACCTTTTAGATGGCAGATCCAGGACTGACAGTTCTGTTAGGAGGCATTTATCCCTCAATCTGTCCTGCAAAAACTTCTCATTTCAATCCTCCTACACATACACCTGCTCACTGTACTTACATTTTCAGTATTGTACCTTGGAAACTTCATTTTAGTGCATTGTTTTTGCTATGTGATCTGAGTATATCTTATGCAGCCAAATATTAATCAAAAGACATTTAAAGTACATTAACACAACTTAAACCATATATATTATCAACTGAAAACAAAATACTTAAGGTAACATATGTAACAAATTGTATCTCTGCATAATAAAATGTAACCTGGAGGTAATACTTAAATTTTTAATTAAGCTTTTCAAAAAGTGTAAGAAAATAGTCTGGTATATCCAATTAAATAAATAAAAAGTATATCCAAAAGTTAGTGTGGTCACCGTGTTGTGTATACTAACTTCCTTATACAGAGTACTACTCAAGGTAAACTTATATAAGGATAAATTCAATACTGTCAAACATCAGATGAAAACTAAATTATATTCAGGAAGTTATGAAGCAGTGAATTTTAGAATAACAATTTCAACAAGAGACTTCAAATTAATTCTCCATTAACTATGGCCAGTGGCTCAGGTGATTGGAGCATCGTCCTGTACACCAAAAGGTTGCTGGTCCGATCCCTAATTGGGATGTGTATAGGAAGGAGGCAACTGATCGAGTTTTCTCTCTCACATCAATGTTTCTCTCTCTCTGTGTCTCTCTCTGTCTCTCTCTCTCTGTCTCTCTCTCTGTTCTCTCTCTCTGTCTCTCTCTCTGTCTCTCTCTCTCTCTGTCTAAAATCAAAAACATATCCTTGGGTGAGGATTAAAAAGAATTAATACTCAATTAATGAAAAAAATCAATTAAACAGATTAAACAAAAAAACATTCTCTGAACATTTTGGTCAATGAAGGTATTACTGAATTTCATGTTGTCTCAACTTTACATTGCCCAAAAGAAATGTAATTAGCATCTTAGCATAAGTATTTCAGCAAAACCAACACACTAAACTGTCAGAAAACAACTTCTGTCTTTTCATTAGACCTCTTAAAAACATAACACTTCTACTGACACAAAGTGGTAAATAGTAGCATGGAAATTCACAAACTTAAAATAACACTTCCAATTTTCTAATTGGAAAGTGATCATACAATTTAAAATGAATATGACATTTCTCTCAGAAGCAGACAATCAATCTCGTCACTCATTTTCACCTATAAGTGAAATGTTCCTTCTCAGCCCAGAAGTGCTGAAACGACCTGTCAGACACACACCACCAAATGGCAAATGGTTAGATTCATCCAAGCAATCAGGTGCCACGGTGACATTGCTTAGAAAAGTTGGATTTCACATATATACTCCAATCAACCTCTCTAGAATTTCTACACATCCCTGTACCATTGTAAGTAATGTGAGAGAACTGGTTGCTGGACAGTGATTAAAAGACAATATGTTGTTTTTTGGCTGGATATCTTTTAGATGTATCCATATTCATGTGACAACTAATTAGTGGAATCTTAGATAATTAGGAACTTGGTAGCCAATGAAAAAGGCTTTTCTTCTTAAGCAAAGACTCAACAAAGGGTGTTGCACTTAAATCACTGTAGTAGACCTGGGAGACAGGAGAACAGGTAGAAAAGGGGAAGTCTTCTCCACTGAAGGTCTATAAAAGTGAAAGTGAATTTTTTAAAAGCCTGCCTGGTCATTTGAGTACTCCTACTCTAAAACGGATATAAACTGAAGAACAGAATTTCCAAAAAATTAAATTTCTTCAACATTATAGGACAGGATTTTCCCCACTCACTTGTTCGAACACCCAAGCACTGCCTCAGTGACTACAATATCCGGTGCAACAGGGAAAAATAGTCTCTAAACAGTTTCATTGTTGGGCCGGGTGGGCATGGAATTTCACCTGAGCAACAAAGGAACATGTACCCGAACATCCTGATTCTAAGAATTAATCATTTCTTTGCATGTCAATTTTCTTAAATTAGTCATCACAGCCAAAAATAGTTGGCCCATATCCTTTGTGACGAACAGCCCTGTCTTCTGTCCAGACTTCTCTCTCCCACTGCCTCTACACACACACCCCTGTGTTGAGCCCTCTCAGGTCATATCTGTTTTTGTACACATGGGATTATACATAGTGTTCTATCATACTGGCTGGGAAATACATTATAGCTTTTAAAGTGAATTTTTTTAAAAATTCCAAATACTGACAGTGATTCCTTGGAGAAGAAAAAGGCAGAACTTAGAAATGGCAGAAAGACACTTCAGAAAGACTAGACTGATTTCATCAAAGTACCTATCAAATCTAGTTAAAGAATAAAGAAGCAGTCACCACCACGCCTGTTTTTACATGTAGTCTGGCTCAGTGGACAGAGCAATACATGGAGTCCCAGGCCCAGCTCTGCCTGAAAGCCAGGTGATCTTAGACAAATCATTTAAACTCCCTGAGCTTCCATTTCCATGTCTTCTTCAGCAGAAATGGGGACTAATAGGGGCTGTACCTTTTCACAGTGCTTGGAAATGAAATGATGTGTGATTGCATTCTGTAAGGTATTATTACCTATCCAAGAGGATGAAGTCAGTCTATTGGCGTGCCACTGAATAGGCCTGAGTGTTGGGCAGAATTTCTAGACAATTTAAATTTAAACTCCTGTATGGCCACCCTGAAGATTTTTGCCTCCTGCCCAGCTAGGTGTGGCTCAGCGGCTGAGCATCGACCTAGCATCCAGGCAATTGGGGTTCAATTCCTGGTCAGGGCACATGCCCAAGTTGTGGGCTCAGTCAAGGACTCTCTCATCATTGATGTTTCTATCTCTCTCCCTCTTCTTTCCTCTCTCTCTGAAATCAGTAAAGATATTTTTTTTTTTTTTAAAGATTTTTGCCTCTTATTTTTCTTTCTTAACTTCTACTTTACAATCCATCATCACCGGTCCAAAAAACTAGGCTGCTGGTAGCTTGTCAGTGCTGTGTGGAACACAAAATGCCACGATCTCCTTATGCTGTATTCTCAAGCCTCTCCATCGAAGCAGCCCAAACATTCAGTTCAAACACCCCACGTCTGTGTGCCTCACAGAAGTCATAAATTCACACTCACAAAGCAGATACTAGAAGGAGTTTTATGAAAAAGATACGAAATATTTCCTAGGTGTCAAGCATCCTTGATATGTGTCAACCTTGATGTGTGTGTTTGCAAATCATTGGCCTTAAATGTATCTTTTCCAAAGCAAAATATTAATGCTCTCAATCAATTTAATATTAATTAGTAAAAAAGAAAGAACAGCCCTAGCCAGTTTTGCTCAGTAGTTAGAGCATCGGCCCTCGGACTGAAGGGTCCCGGTTCGATTCTGGCCAAGGGCACATACCTCGGTTGCAGGCTCAGGTGGGGGGCATGCAAGAGGCAACCAATAGATGTGTTTCTCTCACATCCACGTGTGTGTGTCTGTCTCTCCCTCCCTCCCTCCCTCCTTTTCACTCTCTCTGAAAAGCAATGGAAAAAATATCCTCAGGTGAGGATTAAAAAAAGAAAGAAAAACACTCCAAAATCACCATAGAACTGATTGTTAATAACTGATTTGCATGCAATTCTTAAGAACATGTATCTTCCAAAATGAGAAAAACCTAATTCCCCTAGTAGCCCACTGGAGCTGAGTGAGCCCATGGGAAATGGAATTTGAGGGCTGGAATAGAGGAAGAGGGCAGATCCTCAGGCTCAGGGTTATGACACACTCAGGCAGTAGAAAGAGCTCATCAGTCTTCTGGCATCAGCAAGTCTTCCTGATGCCCAGAGTCAGAGACAATGCGCCACTCTTAGAAAACTAAACCATACTGAAATATTCATTCGAAGCAGGATGGGAAAGAGCTGTGGATGAAGAGATTCAGGAGGACATAACCAACGCATAAGTTAAACTAAATACACTCAACTCCCCTCCCAGTCCTGAGTTTGATAGAACACAAAACATTTACCAAAAAAGATTGCAGTCCTGCTTTCAGAAAACACAGACAAGTCCAGCAATCTGTCTTTCCAGGTGACCCTCACTCTCCTGTCCATTCTCAAGTATGCACACACACAGATTCCCTATTAAAGGCTCTTAATTATCAAGAGCTGTAACAGTTCCAATTAGGAATGCCAACTATCCAGTCTGCGGGTGCCTCATACACTTGCCTCCCTGCATATCCTCGTTACTGCCGCTGTAGTCCTCTCAAAGGTAAGTCGCATGTTTAACATACAGGCTCTTGTTTTTCATAGCATGAAGGAAAAACGAAAAAGACATCATCTGACAAATCTTTACTGGGAGTGACTAGCAATAACAGGCTCCTGTTTACGGAACTGAATAACGTATTAAACAGTAAAAAATATTAGTCTGCAAAAGATTTTGCGTCTATATCCTGCAGGAAAATCTAGATTTCAAAGCATGAACACAAATTAAAGAAACCCTGACATATACAAATAAATTGGGCACAGATCTTAGCTCCTATTAAGGAGAGTACTTTAACTTAAGCAGTCACAATCACTCTATTTTTTTTTTAAATGTCTACAAATTGTAATTTTCAATCACTCTTTTGCTCCTCACTATTTGATAATATGTAATTTCAGGTAACTTTCTTAATCTCAAATATAATAAAAGTATTTCTTAGATGCCAAGATTATAAAGGAACAAACAATACATTCTATTAATATTATATAAATAACAAATAAATGTTAAATGGCCTTGCATTTTAGTTTGGGATAACTAATGATACACACCATAACCAAAGACTTTAACCAAAATGGAATCCAAACTTGCTAAGAATTCAGCCTATTAGCCTAATATGAAGTTAATGCTTAGTCCAAGTCTCTAGTTTCCCCTTTACAAAACAGGTTTGTCTTTGCCTCAACTTACACAGGATGAAGACAAAATACCACAAACTGACTCACCCCCACCCCCAAAAAAATGGGGGAACTGCGATTTTCTTATGAGAATAGGGAAGACAGTTACTTCTAAGAGAAAACATATTGAAGAGCAAAACTATAAAAGCAGCAAACAGATCAGTGAGTTCCAGGGGTTGGGGGCCCGTGGAGAGGGTTGGTTACAAAGGCTCAAAGGTGACTTTTGGGGGGTGGGGTGATGGAACTGTTCTATGTGTTGATGATGTATGTGATTATATGACTGCATGCAACTGTCGGAATTCATAGAATGGGATAGCTAAAGAGACCAGATTTTACTGTATGTAAATTACATTGCAATAAGCCTGCCTTTTAAAAAATGCTATTATGCTTAAAACAATGTGCTACGCACTGAATTACGAAGCCTAACATTCAAGTACATACAGGTTCCTCAAGGCTTCTAGATGTAATTATCAAAAAGTTACCAGTAAATAATTCAGATTCAGCCTTCAGTATTTTATATAATTATTTCAGTACATATTTATAGACATATAAAATGACTTAGAACATGAACTAAAATTATCACAATATGTATTCTGAATCATCACCCGTTGGATACACATTTATAGAAAATTGCAGTCTTATTAAAAATGGACACATATCAGTATCTACTAAATGCTAATTATATTTTACGGGTTAAATTTACTACTAAATTTTAGCTTTTCCATATTGTAAATAAATTTTGAGAAATGTAAAAGGTAATTAGATTCACTGATGTTCCTCAAAACCACTATGAAATGTGTCCTGAATGTTTTTAATTGGTTGCAGAGACTTATATGTATCTTAAGTGTTACAGGAAAACTGGCTGCTTTTAAAATAAGACTTTTCAGTAATTCAACTGAAAAAATGCTTTAACATAAAATGGAATCGTAAGGTCTATGCTTTCACACCTATTGATGAACAGATCCTTACATTTTCCCTCTTCTAGAATGTATGCAGAAACATTCTGATTTTCTGCAGGGGGAGGAAAAAAAAACAACTAGGAGTCAAAGAATGTGTGTAATGTTCTTTTCATAGTCACAGTACACTTACTTTCTATACAATGCTCTCAGCACAAACCTTTCTTTTCACATGTTCACTTTTTAAACAACCACCATCCTTCCCCACACACAAAGGAAAATAGCCAGTGAGTTCAGAAACTTGTAACAAAAGTGAAAATTCCTAATGGAATGCCCATGTAAATACCAGAAATCTAACAAAATAAGACAAAATCCTTGTTCCAAAGGTTGGTAAAATTGAGTCAAACTTATTTTCCTAAGTAGAAACCCACTCAAATCCAAAGTTCTGTTTTCCACAAAGTTAATATTCCCTTGACTTAATTTTATAATTCCAGTGTGAATTAGGCACGCATAGTAACGCACAGGATTAAGAAACAACAGTTGGTATCCCCCTCAGCAAATAAAACAGCCCAGAACTTAATCTCAGTCAGCCAGCCCAGAAGGCAACCTGTCCCATAAGACAAAAGGAGTGCCAGCTAATACATTGTAAAACCCTGGTCGCCTGCCTGACACAGGCACAGCTTCCCAGGCCCACGGAACTCCAGCTTGAAGAGCCTTGCTCAACTTTCCCACCGTCAGTATTTCACCACTGTCGGGAATCCATGCAGAAAATCTAAATGAGTGTTTTCTTTTTAAAAAAAAGACGTATTTATTAGCACAGTCAACCCGGAGCTTACAGGCACAAGCTAATCAATTAAGTTAACTTGCCGGTGTCTGGGGTGAAAATATTTAGTCAGAGCATTAAATTTCTGTTTCCAGTTTTCAAGACATTTGGATTGGGGGAGGGGGCTGTCTTTTATTCTCAGTATCACTGGTTGCCCACTGCAGGGTTTCAAACAGAAAATCAGACAATTAAATCACATCTTCAGCGAAGGGGCACTTACCTTACCTGCCCAGCAGTCTCTGAAACGCGGAAAAGTGCTCCTCCGGGCCGCAGCTCTATTCCCCGCACCTGGCCTGGCCACCGGCTGCGGAGAGCGCCCGCCCTTACCCGCAACTCGGGATGCCAGTCACAGCCCGGGGGCCGCTCTCCCGCCGCCTCCTCTCTGCCCAGCAAGTTTCCATGGGCGGTCCTCGCAGCAGGAGCCCTGGGGGAGGGGGTGTCAAAAGGTCCAGGAGCTGGAGACACTGCTGCAAAGATCACAAATGACTTAACGAAGAGCCTCTTTCTCCTTTTAAAGACCCGGGAGAGCTGGGG